CCATCCGAATAAAAAAAAAAATTAAAAATTTTTTCGATCGAAATTTCAAAAAAAAAAAAATCGTACCGATCGAACGAAGAATCCTTTGCCTCCGCGTCGTGATGGTCCCGACATTTTTTCGAAATTTTTTCGGATGTCGAAAGAGTAAAAATCGAGAGAGAGAAAGAGAGTAGAAGAGAGAGAGAAATGGGGTGGAAGGCAAAAAAATATTTTGGAGGCGGTAAATATCAAAAAATGGGCGGTGTTTAACCGTTTCACTAGTTTTTATTTACATTGACAAGACCGGGATGGCCTATTCGTTGAATGAGGAAAAGTTGACTTTTTAGTAGCGAAGAGTCGCACATGACTATACATAATTTTTTTAATCATTAAGTGGAGCAAATTCACAATCATAGGCCCGTACCTCAACATATACATGACATCCAAGGAATGGATTGGCAAGCTACTGGGATGTGAAGATAAACATTATGAAGATATCTCCTTAATATTGACAAACCATTTTTTAATGTTGATATTTTGTATACATAGAATTTCTGTGTTCCCATGTTTGTTTGTCATTTTAGTCTATTACAGTACAATATCCATATATTATATGGTTGTTGAATTAAGAAGCACAAATAAAAAATATTGAAGCCTTTATTTTAATTTTTTAGAACTAAAATAATTTAGCTTTATATTAAACATCATATATGTTGTGTTTAATTAAATTGTCAAACTATATTTTCTCAACCATAATAGTTAAACACCTGTTTATTAAACTAGTATAAGTCCCGTGCAGTGCACGAGTAAGAGATATTCATTAATATTTATAAATAAAAATTTCTTATTAAGTAATATTTATAAAATAAAAAATATGGAATTGATATGTAATATATTTACCTATTGAAAATATTATATAAAGTTTAAATTGTACAAAATTACATAAAAAAAAAAAGTCTATTTAAAATTAGTACGAAACTCATGTGGTGCACATAACTGATAATAAATTACAGTATATTTGTTTTTTTTATTCAGAAATTCGATTTGGTTATAATGTGATTCCATAAAATAGTTATTTTAGTATAATATTATCATATATTTAACAACCCATGTGAATAATAAGTATAAATGTAAATTTATATTGTTCATTACTTAAAATAACTTATTTTTGTATAAAGTATTCAAATAAAAAAATAAGTAGTTGAGTAATTTGTTACACTATAAATAATTGACTATTTTGTTTACATCCAAGTTAATATTGATTCGTAAGTTATTGAATAATTTATTAAATTATAAATTATTGACTATTTCATTTACGTCCAAGTTAATATTAACCCGTAAGTTTGAACAATTATTTTTTATTTTAAATTTTAAATAAAAGTCTTTTTATTTTTTTAATATATTACTAGTACAGATCCCGTGCGATGCACGGGTGCACAAAAGTCATTTATCAAGTCTTATAATTATATAAATGAATAAAGAAAAATATATGGGATATATATAATACGTGACATGTAATAGACCAAAATGTGAACACGGGTGATGCACGGGGTGCATAATTTTAAGGTCATTTATTAGTACAGAGTCCGTGCGATGCACGGGGTGCACAATTTTTTAGTATGTGTAATACAAATACATACTGTATGCACATGACAGAAGCAATAAATGAGTTCTTTCCACAGAGCTTGCCCGTTAAGTAGCTCCTGAACATGGGTGCACAATTTGTGTACATACCATAAAATCAGAACATATTTTCATACAATTAGATAATAAATTAGATAATAAATAAAACTTTTTTTTTTATTTTAGTAAATATTTTACGTACTTTTTTATTTCCATCTAATTTTGTAGGATGCATTAAATATTGATTATATTTTATATGTAAAATAAAATAAAAAATAACTGGAATAGTTTTACGTGTTGCAATATTTTATATTTATAAAAATTATAAAATCATCTTTTACGTATTGCATACCAACATTTTAGGAACTACATGATTTTTCTAAATTAATATTGCATATCCAATATTTTAAGAACTAATTAATGCTAATTTGATTTGCATACCAAAAATATTAGATGCATTAATTAAATGCTTAATAAAAATAGCAAATCATTAATTAGAGTTGACTATTCTACCTTCTAAATTTAGTAAATAGTATAGCTTTTAATATAAGTATAGATATACCAAATTTAAACCATGGAACTAATAAAGGTAATATCTGCAAGTTTTTTCAATATAATATATTCTAAATTTAAATCATGCAACTAATAAAGGTAATAACCGTAATATTTGACCAAAATGATTTTGTACATTAATTAAAGTAATTTAAGTGGGATTTTCAAAATTTGGCCAAAAATATTACTCAATACAGTAAATATTTTAGGCGGAAAACACCTGTAGATAGTGCGATTTGAAAAAAAAAAAAAAAAAAAGATCATTAATTTTATGTAGGATATACGATTTAAAAAGTGTGATATTGTGTCCAAGTTTGTATATATCTGTACTATACTAATATTGGTATTTTTGAATGGTATTAATTTTTTAGAATCACAAAAATGTTAGGTCTAACTTAAACAAATTCATTTGAATGTATTTTCACATTTTTTTATTAAGATATTTTCAATTACACGTGTTTTTTATTTTAATTAATAAAATATTTGGTATTCTATGAATCATACAAATTTTGGAATATTATTCAAATTTCAAAAGTTGGTAACTCTTTCTTAAATTCGTCATATATCCGACTATATTATTATTTTATTGAAAATCCCATTGTCTTTTTTTCCCCGAAACAATAGGTTTTATAGCTCAAAACAAAATGTACATCGGGAGGACTAATTAGTCCATATTACAACCACAAGAAAGACGGAGGAGCACAACAGTGTCCTAGAACCAAAA